TATTATTCTTAAATTATTTGTACAATTAAAAAATAAAAGCGGTAGCTTGAAGGTGTTTTATGGCATGATGGTTATACAAATCTAGATGTGTGTTGAAAAAAAGGCCAATTTTATCTCTGATGTTATGTTGGGTACAGACTTTTTTTTTTTTTTGGTACTGGGGATCGAACTCAGCTCCTTGAGCTTACGCAGCAGGCAGCGAAACCACTGAGCTAAATCCCCGGCCCCTATATATGCTAATCTAAACTATAAAAATTAAAAAGGGGGCAGGGGAGATAAAGAGAATAGGAAGAATGATGCCAGAACATGAAGAGGTTGCTTTTGGATCATGGATTATAGGTAATTTTTTTCCTTGATTATTACCATTTTTCTGTACCGTCTAGATTTTCTAGAAAGACCATATATCATTTTGTAAACAAGACAAAAATAAAGTAAAAAGTCTGGAGCCTGAAGGCAGCTCCTGAAGGCAGGCAGGAGCAGTGGCCTCTAGCATACACCTGTTGGAGCTGAGCTGGGGCAAAGAAAACATCTTACCTGGGGCCTGTTGCCAAGAATGGGGCAGATGGGCATGGGCAGGCACTGGTAAGCTGTATGGCTCTGCCAAGCCCCTGCAGCACTGGGCAGAGGACGATTCCCTAGCAGCTTCTTAGGCCTGCATGGATGTCAATGGGCCTGGCAGGAAAACAAGCTGCTCCTCAGGGATTCCTTTCCTTGTTCCTTTTAACCTTCTCTCCTTTTATACAACATGTCCTTGTTCCTTTGAATCCCACTGTCAGGTAGTATAATTGATGGCACATGTCTTTCCCCAGGAGTCACGAGAAGGACAGAAAACAAAGAACAAGAAGAGAATGGACAAAGTGACTTCTCACATGGATGCTACAGAAAAAAGGAAAAGGCACCAGGGAGCAGCAGCAGCCAGTGTCTTACAGACATGGCCTCTGCAGACCCCAGCATTGTTATCTGCGGGATGGAAGAACTGGGCTCAAGCTTCAGCCTCCTACATCCATGCCAAGGCCTGTGCTAAGGGCCAAAGGACAGCGAAGTGCAAAGACTCACAGACAAAGGAGTACTGTGTGACAGAGGCTGCTACAAGGCTACGGGCAGGTTCTTTCCCACACAACACCATGAATGTGGCCATGCCCCCTTCTGCCTTCTCTGGAGGCCCAGCCCAGTCCTTGGAGGGCAGGGTCCATGGGACATACCTGCTCAGAGATCTCGGGTGACCCAGGGCATGCTGGAGCTGGCCCATGTGGAGGGTATAGCCTGAGAGTTACCTATGCTTATTTACTCAGTAACAATCCAGGTTTCAGGCGCATCAAAAAATCTGTATGGGCTTCTAACAGACTCACTGGGAAGGGGAAAGAGGGAGACATGAGGCCATGAGAGAGGCTGAGGTGAGAAGTGAGTGGCAAGCAAGCTGGGAAGACGTTAGAGAAGCTGGGGCCAGTGGAAGTCTCAAGGTTGGTCCAGTCCCAGGGCACTGATGATATACTACAACCAGGGCCCATGAAGCTCTCTGGTCAAAAGCCCAGTAGTGCAGAACACAGGTGCCCCATACAAGTTCAGGCAGAGCAGTGAGTGACTTGCCTCTGGAACCTGCATTTATGATCACCCACCTGGGGTAGGCACAGGTTAGGAGGACAGCTAAAGACCCTCTCTCTCCCTGGCCTTTCAAATTGGGACTAGGAAAGAAATGAGCATCAGCCAAGCACTTACTAGGGGAGTAGAAATGACACTGCAAAGAAAAGACCATGGTTCTCTCTGGGAGCCAGCATCAGGAATAATTTTAAGTTTCTTCTCAGTACTTTCCCATATTAACCCTTTATAAAATGTATATGCATTACTTTTACAATTAGCTGAGAGTCATAAAATTAATCCATCTTTTTAGTTTGAGTCCCACTATCTCAGTCTGTTGGGATATTTTAAAATCTTAATGCAACTGTCTGACATTTTAGCTGGCTACCATTTTCCCAACTCATCCTTCTGAATGTGAAAGTATGTCTTGTATTTTATAGCTTCAACAAGCTGCCGACTAAAAGCAAGTACAATAAATCCCTAGCATATGAACATTGGAGTTGCAAATTTTCACAAATATCAATGGACCTTGCATTACGAACAATGGTAGATGTGAACAAATCGTGGAAGTAGCTCACCTGTCTGCCAAACACTGTCACAGTGCTCCCTGTGCTCCCTGTACAGTGCCACAGTGTAGAATAGTATAGCACTCACTCAGAGCCCAGGATGTCCGGAAGCAAGAGGAAAAGCAGTGATGATATGGAGGGGTCTTCTAGGAAGTGCAAAGCAATATACACTGTATATCTGTGTCAAAGGTGTGTAAGACTTGCTTTGTTGAACTTATGAATGAATCCGACTTATGGACGTTCTCCCAGAACAGAACTTGTTTATAAATTGAGGATTTACTGAATAGGCTCTCTAGTCATAAGGCAGGGAGAGAATGCTTCCCTCCACCATGGCACCAGCCTGGCCAATTCTTCCCATCAGTCAGGTCACCAGCAACTCACGCTGTCGAACATCTTGACAAATGAAAGGCATGCTGACTATCAAGGCAGTAATCCTATCCCAAGAAATGACCTGAGCACATCCAGCCGTCCCAAGTACAACCAACGGTCTTCTATGCTGACAGATCCCAAGTCATTTTCCTAAACTCCAAAACGGTCTGTTTGCAAACCACTCCCTATTTAGTCTGGGATGGACACCGGTAAGACTGATAGCCAAAACTCATCTCTTTTACACTTGGGAAACCTGGGTGGCACTGCGGGTGGCACTCCTGACACCTGTCCTGGTTTCCTGGGGGAAGGGGGATTCTTTTGGGCTCTCTGGCATGGGGTGTAAAGCCAGGCAGCTCAGAGGTCTGCTCTCAGCTCACCTGTCCTGAGCTCTGAGACCCCTCTAGAACATGAGCATTCTGTCCCTCCCCAGGCTGAAGAGCATGCCTTCAGATGAAAATGGGGGTACAAGAGAAGATTTAATGGGAAAGTCACTGCCATCTGACAGGAACGTTAACAGGCAGTTCCCCGGGAAGTTAACCTCATGTTTTTGCCTGATCCCTCTCCTTCTATAGTGAAGCAGAAATAAACTCACATAGAGATATGAGTGGCCAGCGCATGGGTGGGTGCTCTCAACTCAGACCAGAAGAACAGACACATGCAGGTGAACATGCTGGAGTGACCTGAAGTGGGGGGTGAAAACAGCCAGGCGGTATCTGCCCTTACTGCTGGGACAGGGATATAAGGAAGGCAACTTCAGCTCTGGATTCAACATAGTAATTTCTTGCAAGACTTGCTTCCATCAACAACTCTGAGACTGGCTAGGGCAGCACATCTGGCTGGGGAGACTGCTGCAATACTGTCCAGCTGTCCTAACACTGGGGAGTCTTTCTATTGCCTCTGATCTTGGGGCTGCCCTCAGCAAGGCACTCACAGACCTGGAGGAGACACACCCCTATGGCCTTATCTATCACTGCCCTTAATCAGGAGGGTCCTGCAAAACTGGAGGGTGTTTTTTCTTTTCTTTTGATACAGGGTCTTGCTGTGTGATTCAGGCTTTAATTCACTATGTGACCCAGGCTGGCCAGGAATCTGCAGTGAACTTATTTCAGCCTTCCAAGTGCTGGGATCACAGGTGTGTGCCACCATGCCAGGCTCAAGACTGGAGGGTCTTTGAAACTTTTTTTTTTTTAGCTTTTTAATTTTTAAAAAATCTGTTTTTGTAATTTTTTAAAAATAAGTTTTCTAGAAACTGAAAGGAGCCATAGGAAATACTTTTCCTTTGGATCTTAAGAATTGAGCACCTGTAAGAAAGAAGGACTTGGGGAGGTCTACAATAATAGTGTGTTTCTGGACAATTCCTAGACTAACTACAGCCGCTGCTTCAGGGAAGGGGAGAGCAGGCAGGATCCCATGGGTCAGAGCTTGAGCCTGTTCCTCCTGGATCCAGTGGCCTTTAAAGTCTGATGCAGTTCAGGACTTGTGAGAGGTGGCTGGTCAGGGTCATTTCTCTGCATGACAGTCTCCTATCTGCAAAATGGGGCTAATCATACTCACTTTGTTGGCACTGTGGGAAAGATAAACAATAACCCAGAACCCATTCTTTTATCACCGCACAACCATTAGCACAAGAGCCCTCATGATGAAGAGATTAATCATGTTTTCTCCTCACGGAACGTGCTTCTGTAGACGAGACCAACCATCCCATGCACTGTGACATCCCATGCCACTGATCTGTGAGGCATGTACTTCCTGGCCTATTTCTCCTCCACAATCTGTCACTCACCATTACTGGGCAAAGAGCTGACAGAAGGCTACATGAGATCATCCTACACAGTACACCCTCTGTGCTGAGCATCCTGCTCTCACTCCCAGAGGGGCCACAGTCTCCTGGCTCTGTGCTGGGTGGGGCTGCATCCCTTTCCTCTCACATGACCCTTCCTCACCCTTCTTGGAGCAGCCTTCTCTCTCTCGGAAACCAACTAAATAAAGTTACTTTTCATCTCCACAGGCAGGGAAGGATGCTGGCCTGAAAGAATCCTAAGCTATAGTCCTTCCGGTGTTATCAAGTGCACGTTATAGCAGGGACACATGTGGCTTCCTTGGCTCACTGTGGTCATCTCAGGGTGAGACTGGTACCAGAGAGGGCATTGCAGATACTGGGAGATCCAAAACTCCAGCCATGGCCCTCCGATGCCCACACAGCTACTATACAAGCACAGGACTTGGTTCCCTACTCGGGGTAGAATCTAAGGACATTTTCACTCCTGATTCCTTTAGTTTATGCTGACTTGGAGGAAGCCACTCCAGCCTTCAAGGGGCAGGGACTCACATGCAGCCTGAACAGGACTTCTGTGCAGTTCTGATGGTGATGCAGGGTGGGTACCTCGCCTGTCCCCCTTGTGTCCCTGGCTTAGCTGGGCTCTGGTCCCCAGACAGCTTGCCCACCCTATTCTGCGGGAGGAGAGGGTGGGGGAGCAGAGTTCCACTCACATGGGGCGTGGAACATGACGAGGACAGAGGAGTGCTCCTTCACAAACTGGTCAAAGTCTTCATCGGTCAGGTGATAAATGGAGCCGCCCTCATCTGCCCAGGGAGTCTCAGGGACCTGGGGCTGTGGCGGCTGTGGACTGGAAGACCAAAAACAGGCAGAGCTCAGAGCAAGCCCAGGGCCTGAGCAGCCCACACAAAATCCAGCCCCCTGGACACAAAGCCCCTGTGGCTGGTGTGTTCCCTAAAGGGCATGCCTTTTACACACCAAGAGAATGAGTGGTATGGCCCTGCCCACCTCCGCCTTCCCCTCAAAGTCCCAAAGAGGTAATCAGCTGATACCTGGCTTTTCAGCTATTGCTCTCTAGGCAGGTCAGGAAATCTCATCTCACTCTGGGAATCGGGGGCTTATTAGCTTTCTCAAGCTATTGCAAACTTGCAGCAAACTGGCAAGAATAAACTGCCACAGTGCAGAGTGACCTTTGCAGATGCTCACTGTTATGTGCAGCACTGTTCATGGGCTGGGGAAGGGCCGGAAAGGGACATAGCAGGGTGGGTAGGTAGGTACAGAGGGCAAGGAAGGAGAGAGGCCAGGTGTCTGAGAAAGCCCAAATGTGGGCAAGGAAGAAGCTGCCACATGGAGGTGCAGGGGAGTTCACTGACCAGCAGGACGGTAATACAGTGAGGCATTTCCTAACTCTGACTGTGTCTAGACTGCCTCATGGATCCATCTAGGACTAAGAGCTTATCTGGTTTTCCCAGAGCCCAAATCAACTCCGTCACTCATTAGCTGCAAAGTCTTAGGTGGCTGCCTGACCTCTCAGGAGCCTGTTTCCACAGCACAGAACAGCACACTGACACCTGTGTCCCCAGCCACTGTGAGGACAGAGGACTTGCAACTGTGCTCCTTGCTCAGGACAAGACGCTGGTGACGTAAGATTCCTGCTGCTTCACTGCCAAGCACCTCTGGCAAAGCACCTTAACTGCAGCTTGGAAAAAAACCTTTAGGGTGACAAATGTGAAAAGCTGACCATTGCTTCCTGCCTATGAGAACCTACAGTAGGACGCAACTTAAAGCTCTGGCCTTCAGGGCTGCAGAATTTACCACAGAGGACAACAGGGCTCGCACACTGGAATCTGCCAAGCTGCCCAAGCCCTGCCCCATCACAGAAGCCTGGGTTTCGATGTCACCTTCAGAGGCTCACACTGGCACTTCTGACTGGGCCCCTCTAGTGGCCTTAGCCTCCCTGCTTGCAGAAATGGAAAGTGGCAAACAGACAGCAAGCCATTTCATGGTTATCCAGTGTCAGATGAGACTGGTGGCAAAGTTAAGTTCTGGAGTAAGTCACCAGCTAGACTGAAATCTAGCTTCTTAACCTTGGGTTTGAACCACTAACCCTTCACAACACCAAGAATTCCACTAGGGAATTTATCTTCAAAATGCACCTGCACACATACAGAGTTATGTGTGTCTGAAGCCATCTGCTGCAGATACTTGTCCTAGCAGAGCCTGGAAACAAGACAGTGTGCAATGGACAGCTGAGCGCTATAGGAAGAACAATGACCCCCTCTACCTGCTGACCCCAACTGCTGGTCGTGGGCAGAACAGGCTATCATTTGCCAACTTTTGCATTAAAAAGGACTGAAATAACATACAAGAAGTGAGTTGCTGGGCATGGTGGTACACACCTGTAATCCAAACTATTTGGGAAGGTGAGACAGGAGGATCATAAGCTCCAAGGTCAGCCTGGGCAAGTTTATGAGACTCTGTCTCAAAAATAAAATTTAAAGAAGGGCTGGGGATGTAGCTCAGTGATAGTAGCGCATTTGTTATTTGGGAGAGGGGTATGTGTGTGAGAGGGAGAACAGGAAGGAAGAAGATGGAAGCAGGCTTTTTCAATATATAGTTTTTAAGTATCTTAATTTTTTAAAATTATGTGAAGGTAATCTACTAAAAAATCAAAATAAACTTTTAAAAATCCAGCAAGAAAACAAAGGATTGAGAAGCTGTGGCTTGGCAGAAGCATAAGCATATGAAACAGCCTGAGAAGTGTCTAGTTAAACATGGGGAAGAATATATGCTAAAAGCACTAAAATAACAGCATGGGAGTTGAAAAAAAAAAAAAAAGGTAAGTCTACTAGAACAAACAGAACAGGCAAAACAAAGCAGAAAAAAGGAAAAGATATCAGCACAATTTTAGAAGCTAGAAAACCAATCTAGCAAAACAGGAGGCAGAAACCCAGTGCTGGGTGGAAAGAGCAGGTTAGGGCTCTGAGAACCACACTGAAGTGCAGCCCCTCAGATCCTGGGAGTGCCCCACTACCCCCAGCAGACAACTGGAAACTCACTTTCTGGGTAGGACCACAGAGCAGGCACAGTGTTGGAAGACATAGCAGAAAGAGGGAGAGAGCGGAAGTCTGAGCCCATAGCCCTGAGTTAAGCTTCCCCCTGAGAGTGGGCTCCCTGCACAGTACCTAACCTGCAGCAGACACCTAATAAATGCCTGTTGAATGACTAAATGAGAGAAAAGTGATTATAGGAACTAACTGGAGGTATTTTCATTTGGAGAGGAGAAAATATGAGAATAGTCTATTTCCAAACATTTTAGACCGTTTTGAAAAGAGATATTGTGATTACTTTGTGGCCCAAAAGAGGGGATGCAACACCAACAAGTGGGGAGTTCCAGAGAAAGGAAGTAGAGCTCAGGGGGAGACTGTTCTATCAACAGCAGGGGACAGAACTGGGAGGGTAGAGACTGGGTGGGTCCTACTTTCACTCAATGCCTTAGGAAAATGCAGCTTAAAAACCATCTGCCAGACAGTTTATCTGTGGTCCTTTCTTAATCCATCTGCAGACAATGGACATGCTCCATGTTGTCAATTTACGAAGTACCACCCAGATGTTCCCAAGTATCATGCTTACCCTAGGTCATGAAGATCATTCTGACAGGAATGGCACCCTCCAAATGAGGCAGAGGGGACCAAGCAAGTGCAAACATTTGGAGAGAGCAACTCTCCCAGGCTTTCTCAGAGAAGAGCAGGTGCCAAGGATGGGGGATGTGGGCATTACAAGGCAGAAAACTTTGTGTCCATTCACTCATTCACAGGCAGAAATGTGCAACTAGGCCAGCATGATTGCGGTTCCATGCTCCTTTACCTGCCTTTCTGGGTCAACTGACCAGTGTGAGACCTGCCAGGGGCAGAGAGACAGAGGCCACGAGGGACACTGGGGGTACAGCTGCCACAAGTGTGCCTACTCCAGAGCCCTCAGACACCAGTGGCTCCCTGGCCTGACTCAACTGTGTCACCCACCAGAGTCCCTGGGTGGAGAGAAGGACCTAGGCTCCTCTCTCCTGAGCTTTTATAGCCCATCCGGAGAATCAGCCAGTCCTCCCAACTTGGGCCTCCCACACCCGGCTGCACATAAGCCCTGAGCAGCTAGGGGCCAAAGGAGACACCCAGAGAGGTGGAAAAGGTGAAATCACCACTACCCCTCAGGATATGGGGTGGGTGGGGACTGGTAAAGACTTAAAACATGGAACAGGGGAAAACCACACAGAGAGATGGGTATACACAGGAGAAAATCTGGAAGAAGTTCACCAAAATATCATGTTATCTTGGACTAATGGGGTGGGGAGGACTTTTTGTTCCATTACATTTTAAAGTTTCTCTGTAATAAATATATCTCACTTGAGTATCCCTAAAATTAGAAAAGATATTATAAAATTAAGCCAGTCGGTAGCACAGGTAGCACAGTGACATCACTAGTTCTCCATGTCCTTCAGGAGGAGGCCTCCCTGCCCTGCCTGCTGGGGGAGTAGCTGCAGTCTGCCTTCAGGGGAGTCCAGCTCCTCGTGCAACCAACAGAGTGCACCTGGGGGGCTTGGAGGGGCTGCAGGGACCCCAGACACCTGCTTCCTTCCCGGCAGGCTCCATCTCCCATCTCATCCCACAGGCAGATGTCCCTGATGCCTGATGCTTCGCCTGATGCCTGATGCTCTGGGCTGAAGGGGGAGCTGGGTGGGAGAGGAGAGGGCTGGGAGGGCAGTGCAGGCTCCAGCGGGGAGATAATGACCTGTCTCAGAAGCTCGCTGATGTGCTCGCCTTGTCTAGGCCTAGCAGGCAATCCTGAACACTTTTTTTTTTTTAAACCAAACCTTATCCTTCTAAAAAGATATGAGGGTGTTTTGAAACCAGAAAAGGTTAGAGAAGGGGGAGGGAAGCAGACAGATTTTATGCTCTGGTGACAAATGAGATTGCTATTTGTTGGAACCTTTCTCAAAGCAGAGGGAGGTAAGTCTGCCAGGAGGGGTGGACATGCTTATTATCAAATGAAAAAGGGAAATAGGAAAGCGAACCCAGGTTAAGACAATGAATACATGATAACGGGGAGGAGCCTTTCCAGGCAGGGGCTGAAAATGAGGTAGCCGATGGGGACGGAGATGTGAAAATGCTTCTGAGAAATAAAAGATGCTACGCAAACACGGGCTGTGCTGGTGTCTCATCCGCCAGGCCCCAGGAGTGGGGAGAACAGAAGACTGGGGTTTCAACCTTCAGAAATCCAGCAGTTTGTTTCTTATGGGTCCTTTTAAAATATATATCTCTCAGCCTGTTTACTATTCTGAAAATACACATTTTGAACATCAATATCTTTGGATAACTACATAACTATTTAATCCTGGGCTCTGCACACAGGGTTCCTACGGTAAGGACATCAGTAAACAGCCATGTGCTAGCAATGGGGGGGAGGAAGGACTGCAAGCAGAGCTGAGATGGGCTGTGGGGTGCTGCTGAGAGGAGGACTAGAGTCCCCGCTGCTACCCATCAGCTCTGCTCCTCAGTTTCTCAGTTGCTGTTCCACCCCTGTTCCTCTGTTCCCTCAATGGTAAATGAGAGTAATAATAAATACCTTCCTGACTGCACTGCTGTGGGGACTAAATGAAGATCCTATAAAATGCTTAGACCAGTGTCAGACACAGAGTAGAAACTCAAACACCAGCTGCCATTATTCCTAGATCTATACACAAATAGCCATGCAGAGCTCAGAGTGAGCAAGGTTAGCACTCAGTGCAGGCAACCTGGGGGCTGCAAGAGAGGACACTGCAAGCCACAGGGACAGTGCTGGTAGGATTGTGATGTGCAGGAACAGTTGGTGGGGTGATTGGGCAGGCCACAGAAGCAAGCTTGGCACAGTGGGGCTCCAGGCGAGGGGGTGGTGCTAGCAAGCAGTGGGATTTGACTGCACTATGACATGGATGGAAGGTTGCCTTGAAGCAGGGTCTATCGGGGTGAGGATGAAGGGTAGAGTTCTATGCAAGGCAGAGGCATCAGAGCATTTCTGAGCATCTCCATAGCACCTAATACAGTGCTGTGTTTGAAATGAGTTTTCAAGTGACAATTCTATTTTCAGAGACCTATAGTGGAACCTCCCTGAAACCTGATCTCCTGCATAAGAAATGGCTCTACCCATTAGACCAACAGTGGGGAGAATTTCAATCTGAAATGCCCTTGACTATTCCAAGAGTCCACAGGCTTAGGTGGCCCCTTCCATTTCCTGTCCACGCAGAAGAGACGGGAAGTAGGTCCCAGCCAGGTCCCAGAGCCTCGGGCCCAAGGCACACCACGTCCTCACGTTACCATGACCCAAAGCACAGGATCCCATGCTGACCTAGACTCCAGGTGAATGAACCCAGCTATGCAGACAGCGTAACAAGTCTCTTTCCCTTTCTCATTCTCCTCCCCAACCCCACCCAGGCCCCTGCAGCTGAGGGGCCACCCTTGGGCCCAGCAGCTATCCCCCTGGGGTGCACACTTGACTTACTTCTTCAGCCATTCCACAATGTCCTCAGCTGTGGACCCGTAGTTATCATACTGGAACAGAAAGCGCCCTTTCCTGTGGAATGTGGACAGACAGTGTGGCTCAGCCAGGGCCACAAATGGCAACGGAGGGGGGGTGCACTCCAAAGGGAGGCAGGGGACTTACTCAAAATAGCAGATGGTGGGGTAGCCACGCACGTTGTACTCCTCCTTGATGTTTTCAAATTCAGAGGGGTAGATGTTCATCCCAGCCAGCACCTGGGAAGAAAGGAGACTAGTCCAACCCCTATACCTTCATCTTGTCCATGCATGGCCTGGTCACGTGCCCCCCCAGCAAGCACATATGGGACAAAGCCTCACAGACTTATGTGCAACCAGGGCTGGGTCAGGCAGTGGGAACAATGAGAGCACTCTAGAAGGTCAGACTTCCAGGCCTGCGTGCCGCACTCCCCACAGAAGCTCCCTACACCTGCGCATGGGAAGGACTGTCCACAGTGGAATTAACCTTCTAAGGGCTGGGATCTACCAAGTGGGAGAAGGCATCAAGTAGGGCCACAGCCACCCAAGTACGCAATATTCTTCTCTTCAGGCTGTGCCCTTCTCCTAAGTTAGGGAAACAGGTGGTGTTCGGACACTACTGAGCCTCTGTAGGTCCTCAGGCACTCCCCTGCATCCCTCAGGCCTGTCCTCAGGCTGTCCACCCAGGCTTCATGCACAACAATCTTGGACCTCACAGCTCAGATGTGGCCAAAGAAACTATGTGATCCTCAAGGGATGACAGGAGAAACAGGGTGTCTGGAGGCTGCCTGTCTCCCCCTTCTACCTGCAGATCTCGACACGCCCCCTCTGTGCTTCCCTTCTACATCTGTGACCACCACTCTCAGTCTGAACAAGTTACAACTCTGGGGTTCCACATGGCCCACAGCCCTGAGCTGGAAAGGAGAATTAGAGCCAGGCTGTAATCCCAGTAGTCTGGAAGACTGAGGCAGGGGATTATAAATTCCAACTCAGCCTGGGCAACTTTGTAAGAGCTTGACTCAAGAAAAAGAGAAGAATCTCAGTGTTACTGATCCAAGAACCACTTAGAATACAGTGTCCCCTGAGATTCCGCTTTTTCTGCAGCACATACCTTCTTCTCTAGGGCTGGATCAGGCACCAGATCTCAATCTCTTCTCACAAAAGGACATTACTAGAATGGCCAGACCCAGAGAGGCGGTTCCACAGAACAGGGGGCAGTAAGCTTCGGGGGAAAGGAAGTTCCAAAGAGCCAACTGCATTGATAGCAGCAGAGTGAGATAACCTGGGAGGTGAAATTTCACCCTTTCTCATACATAAGGAAACAAAGCAAGAAAAACAGGAAAATCGTGGCTTCGGGGGACAGTGCACTTGATCTAGACCATTTCCACCCAGAGTCACAGGATCCTGGGGAAATGACGAACTCTCACTGAGGCTCCTTGTGTGGAAAATGTGGAGATGAGGCTGCCACAGGGTTCTCAGGAACAGGGATGAGATGGCCCATGTCAAAGGTTTAGCACAAAAGTGGGGCTCAGTGCGACTGCCATGGTAGTTACTTCCGGCAAGATGTTCCTGGTAATGGGAACTGGGTGTGCCTCTGGGCTTTCCATTCTCAGAAGTACCTGCATCTGTCTAAGTACCTAACACAATACCTGGCATACAGCAGGCACATAATAAATGCTTGCTAAATCACCCCCCCACCCCAACTTCAGGATGCCACAAAGAATACAAAGAGAATAAGCCTGAAAGGGAACTCATTAGAAGCCCTAGAGCCCTCTAAAAGCCATTCTGCTCATTTCCCAGATTGAGTCAGCCTGTTCCTGTAAAATTTGTCTACATAAAAGTTCTCTTTTTCTGTCTAATTGATTTTCCTAGCATCAGTGCACATTCACCACAAGATTAATCATACACATCCTCCTCTTTCATTACATCACTTCCCTGTGTGAAGCCTTCCAACTCCGTGGAATACAGGCTAAAATCCAACTCCACACTCAGCCCATATGGTCGCTATCTCATTTATGAAGCCTTCTTTCTTACAAAACTTGTAAGTGTACACCTGTTGGGGTCTAGTTTTTTTATTTTCCTGGGAAGAAGACTGTGAGAATTCTGCACAAGAAGAAAATGGGACCAAGTTAGCCTTCTCAGAGACCTCGAGTGGCAGCAGTGGCCAAGGGCATGGGCTCAGGACACCTGGGCAGGAGTCCCAACACCCTGCCTGGCAGATGCATTTCCTTGGACGGGTCATGGTTGCCTCTCTGTACCTCAGTTTCCTTACCTGCAGCCAACTTGTGCGCTTACAGTGAAGATTAAATGAGAGAGTAGAAGTAGCTAGAGCACTCAACAGGAATTAGCTATTTTTATTAATACTACTAAGAGGCTAATTCTGTTCATGGTTCCAGAACACGCACTGTGTTTGCCTGGTTCCCACTTGGTGCCTTCTGTTCCCTTTCTGAGGCTGCCTGTTCTCTACCATTTGGCAACCACTGAAGCCTCATTCATCCTTTAAGCCAAGAAAATCAATCATCCCTGGGAAGCCTTTCCAAACCACCTTTGCTTGGGGAAGCTTTTCATTCTGAGTTTCTGTTGCACCTCTATGCCACTGTGGAGGCACTGATTAGTTAACAAGACAGGTATTTTTTGAACGAGTATCTACAAACACTTTTTGGGGACTGGAGTTTTTGAAACCAAATGAGGCAAAACACCTGGTCTCAATCCAAGGCAAAGATAAGGCCACACTTTCTTAATAGAGCATGTGTGTGAGGGGGATATATTGGATGGGCCAGGAACAATCATGGAAGCTGCACATAGACCCCTGCTCAAAAGGGGACCAGGTTTCCAGACATTCCAGGAGGGGAAACAAGACAAAGCAAGAGGTAGCCCAGGAAGTAGAGCATACTTCTGTCTACCTTGACTGTGGGATACACAGAAAGTGGAAGAGAGAAGGCCAGTGAGTTAGCCCGGTCACTTAGGAAAAGATTTTGACTGCCTATGGACTTGGGACTCCATATAGGAGGGGATGGAGAGCTACCAACATCTAGGAAGACAGCAACCGCAACCCAGCTGCAGTTTGATTTTCTGGAAGCACAGTCATCCCTTGGTACTGGCGGGCTTGGTTCAAGGACCTCCATCCAACCAAAATCCTCAGATGCTCAAGTCTCTTATATAAAATGGAACAGTATTTGCATGTAACCTATGTGCATTCTCCCATATCATTTTATATTACTTTAATACATAATTGAATGCTATGTAAATAACACTTTGATATTGCATTGTTTACAGAATAATGATAAGAAAAAAGTCTGTGCATGTTCAGTAGAGACACAATTTTTCTCCAAATGTTTCTGATCCACAGCTGGTTAAATCCTCAGCTACATAAACCAGGGCCATGTAAGGCTGGCTACATAAAGGACAGGTTGAAAGGGAAAGACTGTGGGTCAGGGAGACAAGTCATCAGCCTTTGACAACCACCTAGTGTGGCTAAGCAGCCTGATCCAGAGTGATGGGCAGGTGTAAGATGAAGGCCTGAGGGGAAAAGTGGTTTTTATGGCAGTATGAAGGATTGAACCCAGGGTCTCTGCACTGAGCTACATCTTTTACCCCTCTCCAATACCCTGGGTGACTCAGAAAGGGTCCTAAAGGAATGTTGGAGGTCTGTAAGATAGAAAGATGCTGAGTATTCTTTTAGACATTCCACATTTGGGACAGGGGGAAAATCCAGACTTAGATGTCAAGCAAGCTGTATTGGAGCTTAGGGGAAGGAGTCCAGCTCCTGCAGTTATATTTTTCTGAAACTATGGATATAGATAAGATACCAAGGGACAGAGCGTAGCAAGACAAGGAAAGCAGTGCCAGGGCCATACTCTAGGTGCTGAAAGGAAAGCAGAGCCTGGGGAGCAGCCCCACCTAGTGAGCAGGAAGAAGCTGGGGTTGGCATTACCATAGATGGGGCAATGGAGGCTCCAAAACTGAGCTTTCCCAAGATCTGCCTGCTAGTTAGCACCAGCCAGCACTAGAGCCGGATCTGTACAAATCTGTCACCACAAACACTCCACTTCTGCATTTATACCCAGGCTGCCACGCCATGGCCAAGGCCAATAAGTGCCTGGGCAAAGTTCAGAGGTGCAGTGTGGACATGGGTAACTGGCAAGGCTGGGGCAAGGAGCAGATGAGGATGGGGCATGTCCTGCTGCCTGGGAAACAGGGAGCAGCTCAGCTGCTGACGAGGACATCAATTAGCAAGCAGGAGGGAGAACAGACACCGATGATTCACCAGATGTCAATGACAGCCAAAAAAAGCCAGCTCTGAGTTTGGAAAATGGCAAAGGGTGCTCATCCTGACCTGGCCTGGCTTCCTTCTTGATGACATCAGCAGGTTGGAAGCTTCCCAAGAAATCTGTAGAGGAGGAAGAGTGCTGACCCTCCCCACAGACGCAGCCAGCCAAAAAGGACTCAGAGATGACAGAGATGGAAAGCAGTAGGAGGCCTTAACCTGGGTAGATGCCATAGCAAGGAGGGGTGAGCCTTAGATTCTTGGGGAATAGCAGCCTTCTGTTAGCCCCTCTGCATTCTGCGTGAGCAGACAGAAAACAATCAATATACCTCTGGTCACCCAGCCCCTCTAGTCCTGGCTCTGGTGTGTAGACAGCTGCTGTTGTACCATGAGGCCTGGCTTTCGGAACCCTCTGTATAGGTGGTACCTGTGGTGGCTGAGGCCCTTCACACTTTAAAAGCAAGGGGGGAAGTGAAATAAACCAACCCCTAACAAGAAAACACAGTCAAGGAAACATGAGTTCATATAACACAGATGTCTCTGCCACCGCCTCCTGACCCTTTTGTAGCATCATCCAGGGAACAGGAAGGGGTGTCTTTTACATCTCTAGACCACAGCCCAGGTGGAAGAAGCAGGTGCTCTTCAGGAGCAAGCTTGTGAAAGCCTGGTGTGAGCCTAGGGTCAAAGAGAAGGTCCCATGCCACATGTATGTCTGTCCTTCAGAACTAATATTCTGGATTCCTTTAAAGGGGGAAAGTGTCAGGGCCGGGGATTTAGCTCAGTGGCACCACGCCTGCCTTACAAGAGCAAGGTCCTGAGTTTGATCCCCAGTAACAAAACAAAACAAAACAAAACAAAAAAATCACGCAAGCCTAAAAGGGGAAAGTGTCACATAAATATAGAGGTTAAAATAAAACCCTTTTAGGAGTGATAAGCCACACAACAGGTACTGGGCACCTACTGAGCCTAGCCCTGAACGCAGCTCTTGTGCCCTGGAAGCTCACATATCATTAGTATCAAATGGGGCACAAAAAGTGGTGAGGATCAGAAGCAAATATAGGTGGACCTGGCCATGCATGGCAGTCAGGCTCTGGAGGAGCCTGGAGGAACAGGAGGACCAAGCTGGGCAGCAGACGCAGCACTGGCAGAGCCTGGCCCTGAGGTGCACCTGCCTGACATCGAGTCCTCCCCTCTCTGGCACAGCCAGCCAAGATAATCTGTGAACCAACTTGGGGCTGGAGCTATTTATTCAGTAGCCCCACAGAGTATGCAAGTAGAGATGAGTAGTTTTGTTGCGTGCACACGGGCACAGGCAGGGAGAACAGAGTGGGTAATTAAGTCTTTTCTCCAGGCTAATCTTAAAATATGGTTCTATAGAGGCCCCAAAATGTGCAGTGAGACTTCCCCAGAGGGATGTGTATGTGCCCCAAGGCCACATGTCTCCAGGCAAGCTCCTAAAAATTCATTAGTGAGCAACAAGCAGGACCTTGGTGGCACCCCAGATTGAGGTCAGAAGAGAAACCATTAGTTCTTCTCAAGCCAACTTGCACCTGGTTAGTGAGGCCCTCCAAATGTGCAGGTGCTGCCACTTGGACTTCATAAGCTGACTCGGAGTTAATCACCACTTAATGTGATCCATAAAGATCATGATGCAGTTTCAAGACCTAGGTCTCCCTTAATGGGCCTTGGGCCAGCCCCACTGAGATAACTCCTCTGATAACCTCCCATGAACAGTGTACGGATTTTTCCATGCTTCCAAGAGGGTCTCGCAGCTGTTTTTTCCGTTGCCACCAAACAAAATAAAACAAAACAGAACACTTCCAGTACTCAGGGTAAGTGCTGTAATGGACAAACATATATCCAAGAGAATTCAAAGCAGGATCTCCAAAAGCCATTTGTACAACCATGTTCATAGCATTACTGACAACAGCCAAGAACTGGAAGCAACCCAAATGGCCACTGACAGATAAATAGATAAAGAAAATGTGGTATTTCTACTGAATACAGTGGAATACTACTCAGCTTTGAAAAAGAAGGAAATTCTGCTACATGCTACAAGATGGATGAACATTGAGGATATGCTAAGCAAAATAAGCTAGTTACAAAAGGTCAAATGTTGTATTATTCTACTCATATTACAGATCTAAAATGGTCAAAATTATAGAAACAGAGGTAGAAAGCTGTTTATTAATGCTGGGCACAGGGAGTGAAGGGGCATTCGTGTTTAAGGGGTTTAGACTCTTTGTTTTGCAAGATGGAAGAGTTCTGGAGATGTTTCATAACAATATAAACATACTTGACACTACTGAACTATACACATAAAAATGGCTAAGGTGGTCAGTGTGAGAGTGTGGTTCTTGCCATAATAAAACAATAGTCAAATGACAGAGTAACAAAGACCTGCAGGGTGGAGGAGGTGCAGGATGGCAGGGAGCATCAGGGACAGATCCGAGTCCCTCTAGGTGGGACCTAACTGTCTCTCCCGTCTCCCTTCTCTCTCCTGAGGGCCCATGGCCCCCCTTCTCTACACCATCCAGACCTGTACTGACCTGTACTGACCTCTTGGAAGGCCTGTTCCCTCATCAGCCCCTCTCCCCTCTCCTGTGTCATTTACCATGTGCTCTCCCTGTCCTTCTCTTCCTCCCTCCTTCAGGGACTGCCTACCTTCTTGCTTCTCCCACCTTGTGGCTGATCTTGCCTCTTTCTGCTCTGCTTTCCGCCATCCTTCCTACACTGCAGGAACACACGGCTGGGGGGCCCCAGGCAGGGTGTGGCCTCTGGGACTCTGCTCGGGGCCCCTGGTCCACCATCCTTGTCACCGACCCCCCTCTTTGCCCTGGGCTCCATGGCAATAGCTTCGGCCCACTTTGGAGCCCTATGCCAGTAACTGCAGATCCCTGCTGTTCTGGCTTTGATCCCCACCACTGGGCAATGCCAAGAGTGTGGCTTGCTGGTTTTCTATTTTATAACTGGCCTTGGCAGGTGCCAGGCTCTCCTGGTCTCAGAAACTTTGTGGTGCTCGTTCTTGACTTCATGGAGAACAGGCCTTCAAGCCACATGCAAAGCTGTTTCTGAAGCTGTCAGGCAGCAGGGAATCTCCTCATCCTTTCAGAGCCTGCCCGCCCCACCAAGCCCGTAGGGCCCTCCGCCACAGGGCCCAGGGGCCTCTCAGCTGTGCTGGCACCTCACTTACGAAGTGGCCTCGTAGCTGGGTCGCAGCCTTCTGGAAATGTGGCATTATCCTCTTGCACATACCGCACCCTGTCACAGGCAGGAGAGAAACAAACTGGTTACAGTGACAGCAGGGCCCTGGTGCTCTGCCTTCCTCCTCCCAGGATGTCTTCCCCTCAAAAACACGTACCTGGCTTTGAAACTCGGGACTATCCCAGACCCTGGGAATACAAAAGGAGTAGGAGGCAGGGGCCCTGGCACCCAAAGAGATTATGGTCTTAATGGCATAAAACAGGGCAGAGCTCAGCGGTCCCTCTATAGATGTTAGACCGAATAAGCAAAAGTGACACAAGCAGGAAGAGCAAAGACCAGAATAACTCGGTGCTGCCGCTGAGCTCCACAGGAATACAGGGGCCAGGACATGTCAGGAGAGCAGCCTCCTGCGCACACAGCTAAAGGTCGCTCCTCACCACCCAGGCAGAGACCAGAGTCAAATGCCACTAGGAAGCAAGGCTGGCGACCATAAACACAATGACTTCTGAAATTTTCATGCCTCTTTTCTCTTGTATTAACAAGGATAATTAAGCAATGAGTAGAGGCAGGCCAGGCATAAATGCTGCTGGCTCTGGCTGGTGGGAGGAGCACTGGGCCTGGACTCAGGACACGGCGCTAACCTGTCAGTGACTCGCCAATGCCTCCTTTCTCTGGGCCACTGCTTCCTCTGGCAGGTGAGGTGGGCTGGACCAGACTGGCCCAGGGCCCTGCCGGCTGTCTTCAGAGCATCCTGTCCTGGCCTTGGCTCAGCCCTCTCTGTGGTCAGGGTCAGGCTGGCCAGGCCCCAAATATCCATTACTACTTCACAGGGGCCTTGATTTCAACCCATCCCATAATTAAAATCCAACTAGAGCAGGACATGTTTCTGTAGAGCCCACCAGACACAAGAAGCAGTTTCCCCAGCTACCAGAAATTGTGACATGCCAGGCTGTCACCCTTTCTGACAGCTGCTGTGCTGCAAAACAGGTTTTGAGACAACGCTGAAGGCCACAGAAACCAAAGCTGCCTGGAACAATGTGTCAGGCTGGTTCTCATCTGAACTGGGAAAGCAGGGCCAGGGCCCATGCGGCCCATGGGGCAGAGACACTGAGAAGCGGGAGGAGATGGAGAGGAGTCCTCCTAGGCCACCAGGACCTAGTCCCCAGCACCAAGCCTATGGGCAAGATGCAGAGGCAGGAGATTTTGATAAACCATGCCCACGGCCCCTCCCAACATTCCTGCCTGACACCCAGGTGTATACACACACACACACAAACACACCTACCCTGCATACCAAGCCTGGGCTCCCGTTCCTGCCCTCAATCCAGGCTTTCACTGGGGGAGAAGGAGGAGGGCAGGAGCTGCTGTGAGGTAGGGCCAGTGTAAGCCACAGCATCTGCTTTGGGAGCCCGCTGTCAAGACAGGGACAGCACTTGTGGCACAATGGAAGGAATATGATGCTTGTCAGGGGACACTTCACAGGGGAGAATGGAAATAAGGACAGGCACAGTGAGAATGCTCAGGTGGATGCCTGTGGTAGGGAAGAAGAGACTGCATGGTGGAAAGGAAGCTCGGCTCTGAGGAACCAGACTCTGTTCTCATTTCCCCTTGATCCTTGCTGGCTGTGGGACCCTGGTGAGTAACCTGGACTGTCTGAGCCTCAGTGTCCCTGTCTGTGAAGTGGAGATAGTACCTGTCCCCCAGGTGTTAGGCAGGGCTGGCCCTCAGTAGGTGAGGGCCAGTGCCCGGGAGACACAAGGCCTGCCAGTCGGCCTCCCCATCTTCGATGTGAGGAACGCTTCACAGGGGGAACATGAGGCCACTCCATATCCTGGGGTAATGAAGGGTGTCACACTTCCTCTTCACTCAGCAACTGGAGGGTGACACTCAGGGCACAGGAGCTGAACTGATCATCTGTCCCCTCAGGTGTGGCCTTTCTTCCAGCTCTGCCCATCTGCACCCTGCAACAACATTGCCCTCCCCTCTTCCCCAAACAGGTGACAAGCCAGCCAGCTGTCCCCAAGGCTGGAGGCCAGCAGTTCTGGGTGAATAAAGGGACTAGGGGGGAGAGGAGATAGAAGAGTAATAGGAAGCTATGGGCCAAGCCAGTTTCCAATTTAACTTTACCAAAAATAGAGCTGGGACTGTGATTCTTATCTGAGTTTATCTTCCAGCAGATTCAACTGTGAGGCAAGGGAAGAGGTAAGACTAATTATCACTCTCAAAGCCCACAAGTCAGAGCAGTCAGCCTTTTTATTTTCTCATTAATTCAGTGAACAAACATTTACTGAACAAGCAGTGGGTCCTGGGGACCCTCATTCCTTGTCACCACAAAAGACTCCCATTGCCTCTGGGTTCATTTGCCCCACATGTAATCAGAGAATCAGAATCCCAGCAGACTTCCCAGGTAGGGAATTGCTGTGTATCCCAGGAATAGGCTGAATTATGAGGTAGGTCATGAAGGCTGAATTGAACTAGTATAATAAAAGCACAAGTTTGTTTCATTACAAATGCACACATAACAAAAGGAGTCCGTGGGTCCCAGGACCTTGGAGGCCATCCAATGTGATCCCCCACTGAAAGCTTAACTTAGCAACATGGTGTTCTCTTCCCTCTCCCACCACTAATATGCTTTGTGGCTCCTTTGAGGTTCCTAATGTCCCAGCCCCAGATTCCTATTATATAAAGATAATCACTATGCTCTCATTTCTGCAGCAATGAATAAGACAGGCAGCCTGGGCGAGGGCGGGAACACATGAGACAAACATCAGGTGCAAACTGCTGGTGAACTGCTCTTTTAAAATGATTAAAGTCATTACTCGGAAACCTGTGCGGCTGTGCCACCACTCTGCCTCACAACACGCCCTGCCTACTAACGCCCACCAGAGTCATCGTGCCACTTCTCCAGTGGCCTGAGCCCTGAGGGTTCGAGAGAAACCCAAGGAGGCCCCACTCCCTAGAGCTGTGGAGACAGGGCAACTCCTGAAGCAACCCATGGCCAGGGGTTCACAAGACCCCTCCAAGCAGAAAGAAAAAGGGCAAACAATCTAACAAACAACGATGAGGAGATGAGCCAGAGTGAGAGTGCAGACTGTGCTGGGTGGAGTGGGGTCTGCAGAAAGGAGGATACAGAGCCTCCACCACAGGAAGACACCCTGGGGCCCAAGGGGTCCTGCAACCCTGTGGTCACAGCAAACAAGCTTCAGAGCCCCACAGAGGAGCACGGGCCAGGGGCCTCAGCACCATTGCTTGTGTGGAGAGAGAGGGGCCTCTGCTTAAAGCACTTCTCAGGTACAGGGAATTGAGAACTTTCAAGAGTCGACAGAAGCCTGTTGTCACACACCTGGACACACCCACCTCCCATCACACACAGCCCCCTTTTTTCTCCAGCCTTCAGCAGATAGGGACACCTCTGGCTTCCTGAAGGGCAGGGGCAGGTCCCAGAGTCCCAGCTCCAAGGGCTTTTCCAGGTTCTCACCTCTCTGTGGCTTGGGACTCAAGAATTTGCAGGGTGGCTTGACAGTGAATACCTGACATTATGTCTCTCACAACTAATCCACTGTCACAGTTCAAAAGCAGTCAAGACAATGTGTTCATGTATGGGCATGGCTGTGTTCCAATAAAAGTTAATTTACAAAACACAGTGGCCAGCTGTGGGCCACAATTTGCTGACCCTTCCTTAAAGGCTTGTAGGCCTAACCAGTAAGTCTTCAATACAACACCACAGAAACAAGAACAATGTGCACAACATCTGGCAGAGTAAATGGCAAACAGTGAGGTTAAGTATGGTTTAGTTTCAGCTTATTTACATATATATACTTATAGTATTGGGCTGCAATGTAAAATACTTTTAATTCTGTATAAAAAGAATTTTAAAAGTTTGGAAAAACCTTTGGAAGCCCCTGTTCTGATACAATCCTTCTCTTATAGGTATGGGGACTGAGTTCCGCTGAAAGACTTAAGCTCACCTAGCTCATGGGTGTACAGCGGGAACCTGAAGCCAAGGCTTCAGGCTGTTACCTTGACAACCCTTCTGCCATTCCTCACAGCCTCTGTCCTCACACAAGGACAAAGCCCAAATCCCAGGGCTCCAGCTCTCTCTGATCCTGTCCTAGGAGCCACTCCTGGAGGGGCTGCCTCAGAGGCAAGCCAGGCCTGGGCTGTGAGGTACAGGGTACCCCAGGGGAGGCAGAAGAGCAGCAGCACCAGAGAAGGTGCACATGATGCCCAGCCGTGGTTCCATGGGGCAGGAAGGGGCACGAGGGTCTGTGGACCCACAGAAAGCAGGGGTGTGGGAAGATGGAGCTACCTAGGCAGGAGGTCTGTACTGTTTTTTGGAGCTCAGGGTAAAGAGAGAAGGTTGAAGAGAGCTGACAAGGACAGCAGGAGGAGGGGCAAGACGCAAAGACTGAAAGGAAGGCCAAGAGGCGCAGAGCAATCCAGTAAGAGCCTGGGGCTGGTTCCTAGTTGTCCCCTAAAAACTTCAACACCTCACAACACTCATGGAGACCGAAAATGCATGTTGGCCAGAAGAACATTCACTCACAGGGGGCATAAAACATCATGAGGAGCGGCTTCTCTTCCTTCTTCAGGAGCCGTCTGAAGTCCTGAGGCACAAAGAGAGACAACAGCAGCAAGTCACACACAGGTCACACCCAGCAATAATGGCACATGCCCTCTCCCTGCCTGGTGCCCAGTGTGCAGGAGGCACAGGGGTGAGTACCTCAGAAACACAGACATAGTCAGGACACCAGGAGCTGGAAGAACCTTAGAGCTTATCTATTCTAGCCTCCCTCAAATATCACAGAGGGGGAAATTGAGGCCCTGGGAGGACAAATGGTGCTGCCAAGGCCATCTGGTGTAATGCAACACCCAGGACCAGGCCACTGGCTTTACTTTCAGCTCCAACTAAACAATAAAAGATGGCAAGGAGCTGTTTTTTTCCATAAGGCTGTTGAAAAGACAATTCCTTTGTGTGATTTCAGAAAGGGTTTTGCTGTGGGGAAGCAGCTGTTTCCACATCTGCCAGCTTGGCCAGCTGGGGAATCTGCTTGCTGTGGTATCGGGGCTCCTCTCTTCCCTGGCTCGAAGTCATCCCAGGATCGCTGCACCCACAAGGCATTGGATGGGGTCTGTCTCACCCTCCAGTAGGTTATAAACCAAAAAGATCATTGGTATTTGTAAAACCTTTAGGCCAGAGGCTAGCACATTATTAGACAGTATATAATGACTTGTTAAATAAATACAATAAGTGTAAAAAGACAAATGGTCACAACAACATTAAGGTAAAGACTTCAGTGCTAGCAGGGTAAGGACTTTTCTTCCAACGAGAGCCAGTGATGGATGAGAAAAGGTAGATCCATTCCAGACTGCAGTGAAGCACTAAGACACTGCACGTTTTGATTTTAAAAAGTGCCTCTAACCAGTTTTCACAGAAGAAAATTAGAGGTTTTCTCTTTTGAATAATAAAGAAAACAAGAGAAATGTCGAAATGCAGCTTTCTGGCAGCAATGTGGCATTAGATAAATAAAATGATGGCATGTCCCACACAATGGAATACTCCTGCAGTGTTAAAAATGCTGAAGAGGAATATTTAATGTCACAATAAGATGGGTATGTTACATTAAGGGGGGAGCAATTCACAAAACAGCATATAAATGGAACAACATTTTTGTGAGTAAAAATACTGATGTATGCATTACCATTAAAAGCCTGGAAAAGCACAAAAATATCAGTGGGCATCTCTCAGTGAAAAAGTATGGGGTGATTTGTGTTTTTCTTTTATGAATAAGTTACATTTTCCAAATTTCCAACAGTAAGTCTGTATTCCTTAATTTCGAGTTAGGTAGAAGAGATTATACTTTCTTCATTGGTTATCTAAAATATTTTATAATAAATCCTGAAAAAGTTTACTCTAATTTACATAGCTAGAGGCTTTAGCACTCATTTTAAAACAGAGCACAGCACAATGCTGAATATGCAAGCCACAGAAACCAGGGTGTATTCGAAGAGGACAGGGAAAGGAAAACTTTTAAAGATAAAATGAGAAGGATTATGTAAGTGCTATGTTTTATATCTCGATATCCCCCCCAATGCCTTGTGTACTCAGAGGTGGGGCTTTGGGGAGGTAACTGGATCTTGGGGGCATCACACTCATCAGGGATTGGTCCACTGATCAGTTTATAGCTAATGTGAGGTTGGGAGGTGAAGCCTGGTCAGAGGGGGTGGGTCACTGAGGGTGTGGCCTGGAAGGGTGTATCTAACTCCTCTTTTGATCTTGATTTCTCTCTGCTTCCAGCTGCCATGGCATGAGCTGTCTCTCTCCTCTGCTATGCTGCCCTGCCTTGGAGCCAGCTGATTATGGACTAAACCCTCTACAAACTAAGCCAAAATAAACCTCTCCTCCTGTAGTTTTTCAGGTGTTGAATATTGCATCTCAGTGACAAGAAAGTGACAAAAACAATAAGTTATTGTGAAACAATAATCCTTATATACAAAAGTGCCAGGAGCAACACCAAGGGTGCCAGCAGTCCAAGGCTGAACAGGCACTGAACAGGAAGGAGTCTTTGCAGAAGTAGTCCTTGCCCAAGGGGTAGACTTGCTGCCATCTTTTGTGGCAGTTCTTATCATCCAGCATACATGCACAAGATCCTTCCTTCATAACTTCACAGCTTTATTTTAGTTTTTGTGAGGGCTTAACACAAGTGACTACATTTTGATTGTGACAACTTTCACACAAATATTTGACCCTGCTACAGCTATTATCTAAAATGTCCCCTTAAAAGGCTCATTGTGTCAAAGGCTTGGTTGTTAGCAGATTGCTGCTTGGGAAGTGACTGGATCATGAGGATGGAACCCAGGGCCTTGTCATCATGTGAGGCAAGTGCTCTCCACTGAGCAGATGGAAACCTAGCCTGCTCTCCTAGCCTGATGGAAACAGAAGTGGACCACAGGAGCATGACCTTAGGGACTATATCTAGTCTCCAGCCCCTTCCTTTCTGCTTCTTGACTGCCAAGAGCAGCTCTGCTCTAGCGCATGCACCCTGCCATGATGATTCTGCCTCATCCTAAGCCCAGACGCAATAAGGCCAAGTGAACATGGACTGAAACCTCTGGAACAATGAGCCAAAATAACCATTTCCTCCTTTAAGTTGACTTCCTCCAGTATCTGTCACAATGATGAAAACTGACAAACACAGACCCTAACTCAGGATGAAGGATGCAAACACAGTAAAAATCATCTCCTGAGATCTCTACAGAAAGATCTGAGAAGGAAAGGTTTGATTAGGCTGGTAGCAATTTGGTTTCATTGGTTTTGAGTAATAACAAATGTTACATGCTTAATTACCTTCACAAAGTAACCCTACAAATTCAATTAATAATTCAAACTAGAATTTGGAACTTTTAATAATTTAATGTGGGGATTCTAGTGGCAGAGAAGCAACTTAGACTTTGTATTTCTGTTCGAGAGAAAAGAGCACAAAGAATAACAAGAGGAGAACAGTAAAGAAAACACTGATTACTATTCCTCCAGCTACAGGAGAACAATTTTAGGAAGTTCGGGACGTGACTTTAGGAGTAGGGAGATGCCAGGCAATTGCTTTACAGAGAAGCTAAAAACATTTATCATCACAGGAGCAATAATTATGTATCTCATAGCTGTAGGTACCCATCCACGCTCTCCTGACATTTGCCCCTCTTGCCTTGTCCCCCATCCACTTTTAAAAAACTTTACCTTCGAGGTGACAACACTTACCATCCCAGAGAAATTGATGCCCAGACCCTGAAACTGAATCACCAAAGACTAAACCCTTTCGGGTACCCACAATGACCGCATTAATGTCTCTTCCAGAAAGTTAAAAAGGCGTCATTTCCTTGTGATCTCACAAGCACTGAGAGCAGAGTCAAGGCTAGGGATGCAGCTCAGTGGCAGAGTGTTTGTCTAGCATGAACAAGACCCTGTGTTCTGTCCCCAGCACTGGGCTGGAAGCAGAGTCAATAATTTTAATAAAAGGGAAGAAGCAGCAATGGAAGATAAAAGTTATGTTTCATTTCAGTAAGGTGAAAGTAAGCATTCTCTCTCCACCTATTAAAAAAAAAAAAAAACATTGCTTGCCTCACGGACCATTTGAAATGTACGAGAGGACCTTACCCATCTCTATGTGAAGGCATAAGCAAGCAAAATAAGACATGACTCCAAACAGATAGGATAAAGGGACACACTCAGGCCAGAGGCAAGCAGTGCAAGGAGGGAAAGTTTGTATCATGGCTTTGCTTAAATCCTCAAAGATCTAATGAAGACTGAAAACCAGAAGCACCCTTCTACCTACTCCCCCATCCCCGGACCACTCTGAAAATTAAACCTTAAGTGGGTAAATAACGTGTGTAAGATACACAATAACTCACAAACTGCAAAATCCTACCGACATCTAGATTAGGTAGTGAGGGGAGTACATTTAAATCTATACTCTTATAAGGAAAACCTAAACATTTTGCATACATTAAATAAGGCAGTGGGGGTGGAGAAGGTTCTCAAGTAGCCACCTGTGATCTCCTATTGGTTCTATCATGGAGCTGGGAAGGGCAATCAAATACTAGGGTCCTGGCCTAGTCTCCGTGGATGAAAGCACAAGTGATCCTGGAATCCTTGAGCGCCTCTCTTTGGGAGACTCAGGCACCAGAAAAGGTTCCAGTTTCCATCAAAACCGATAGGGAAGAAATTACCTTTTCATTGTCAATGTGGACAACATCTTTGGCTCCAGGATCTTCTTCCCACAGTGGGGGCCCTTTTGGATCCTTCAAAAAGGCTACTACAGACTAAGAAAAAAAAGAGAAAAAAGAACATGCATTTTAGCTAGGCAAAGGAAGAGGTGAGGAATCAAGAACCTGCCAATTTCCTGCCTTGGTACTCAGGTATGCCAATTGCCAGGCATGAGACTGAAATGTGACACGTGCTTGGAGGTGAGCTATTTCCACTGTCCACAACATCACCACCAAGTGTCCTAAAATGCGCCTCTGCCACTCCCACCAGGCTTTTCCTTACTGGTCGGCTGATCCATCCCTACTATGGGTACATATCTTCATGGGCAAAAAGGTGGAAATTTGAGACAATGAGTTGGCTTATTCAACCAGAGAGACACTAGTACTTCTACTAAATCTTATCTCTTCCCAGAAGCCTTTCTGGTCAACTGAACAAAGGTCTCCAGTCTTAAAGTGAATATTTTCATATCCCTGCACCCACTAAAACTGCCAATCCCATAAGCAGATAATCATAGCTTCTCGGCATGTCATGATCTAAACTGAGTTCGGAGTGATTTGATCCTGATTATCTTCTGCTGGGATAACACAGGCCCAAGGGGAAATGGCACCTCCTTCCTGAAGCTAACACTACCCACTGCTGCACAGGCACCTGCCCAGGTGGCGGGAGAAGGGTGCTAGTGAGTGCCCACCAGCCCATGTTTCGGAAATATCTGGTCTAGGGTACCTCTGTCTAGGGTGCACAATCTAGAGACCTCCAAGTGAGGGGAACCCACACGCTATGGTCCACACTCACTGCTCTAGAGAGAAGGTCTTGTCCAGCAGACAGCCAGTGGGATCGGGAACCCACAACAGGTCAGGGAGCTGCTGCCCTGGGGGCTCCTGTTCCCACAACTGGGGGAGCTGAGCTTCAGAGTTAGCACAGACTCCCTGCTCCCCACCCCGACATGCCCCTCAGTATTAGGAAATAAAGACAGTGGGGTGGGAAAAGGAAATGGCCCCATTTAATGTAAAACTTGAACAGCCACGCTCATAGCCTTCTGCTTTGCAGGTGAAGATCGTTCTCATCTAACTGAAGCTGAATGATCCCATCCTCAGGTTCTCTCCAAGTGGGTCTAACTACCCATCCCTGGGTGGATGTCCACAGGAAGCAGCCCCTGGGAGCCCACACTAGTCCTTCCTATCTGGTTGCTCAGAATCCCAGGGAAATGGTCCAACAGATGCACTTGGCCATAGGACATCTCCATGGCTATGGGCATGGCTCACAGCTACAATGTCTTGGGACAGTCCATCATAGGGACACCTGAATTGAGGTTCCCAAGCAGTTTTGGAGCTGGCCCTCATCACTTACATGAAGACTTTGGTAGACACTGGCCAATAAGCAGAAAGCTGCTTATAAAACTCTTTTGAGTTTCCTGCGATTTGCACATGGGGAGATGTAATAAGCCCTCACTTGCCAGGCGTGGTGGCACAAGCCCATGACCCAAGCACTCCAGGAAGCTGAGGCAGGAAGACTACAAGATTGAGCCTAACTCAGACTACACAATGACTTAGCAAGAACCTTCCACAACGTAAAAATATGAATCAATAAATAAAGGGTCCAGGATGTAGCTTAGTGTGAAGGCCTGGGGTTCAATTCCCAGTACAGCTAAAAAAATTTTTTAAAAACCCTCACTTATCTGGCCTCTGGCCTCCCTAGTTGTCCACAGCACTATGTCCAGACCCCTGCCCAACCATGCAGATCAACAGCATCAACAGTCAGAATAGGCACACAGACTGTGTGCAGACTGTGTGCCTATGCTGTCAGGGGCTCCTCCACCTTCCTGGAGACAGGGCCCCAGGAGTACTCCTCAAAGGAAAGCTAATCAGTAGACAATGCGGCCTTTGATCTTGGCTGCTCAAATGGAAAAGGCAGAAGCCATCTGACAGTCATAGGAAATGCCACATCACCCTCCCCCTGCCCTGGGGAATTCCAGGGACTCTGCCCTGGTCCCTCATGGTCCCATAAACTTTGGGGGACCTGGGATTATGGCTGCTCACTCTGAAACTGAAGACCCTGACCCTGTACACTGCCCAGCCTGCTTCTCCAGCTCATGATGCAGAAAAGGTGACTACAAGAATGGGACAGAAGGCAGGACTCTGTCTCCTCCATCAGACATTAAGCTACAAGTTGGGGCCAGGAGCTGCTGGCTACTTCACTCATACATAGTTCTGAGTAGCCACTATTCCCTGCTCCATCACCTCAGACAGATGCTCAGAGTTCCTGGCTAAATATTAAACAAAAACCCAGCCCCTCTTTATCAATGCATAAGCAATTCCCCATCCCACCCAACGAAATCTTGCTCCTGGGGAGCATGTGTTGTCTCTGAGGGCATTAGCTGATGAAGGAATTCGCCAAGTGTGTCAGTGGGCGTTAAGATGGTGAGTAATTGGGCTGAACGGCTTTATAAGGTGAAAGCTGTAGCAACTTAAGAAAAAGAATTGTTCATAAATAAGAAATGACCTGGGGAGCTGAGGGAGAGAGGCAGGGAGAGGGGCAGACAGAGGGAGGGGAGCACTGACTGCTACATAGACAGACAGACAGGAAAGAATGGAAGGAGACACAGTCAGAGAAAGAGAGTGGGACAAGGAGTCAAGAATGCAGGGTCCAACCCAGTCTGAGAAGCAGAAGAATCAGAGAAACTGAGTTCAGCCCAGATTGGAACCAGAAGAAATATAGAGCTGGCCCCACCAAGGCAGGGGAATGGTGCTGGCCTAGAAACAGCAGACAGGCTTGAAGAAGAGGACCCCGATGTTGAAGGAGAGCTAACTGGGAGCAGAAAGGCTGCAGCTGGGCAACTACTCTGCAGTAACCAGGCACCTGCGGACTGCAGGACCTCATGCATTTTCAGTTACGCTTTTCCACTGACTTCTCAGTGACAGCCATATCTCACGTGGAATAAGCTGCATTGGCCCAAAGGTGCCAATCTGCCCATGTCCTACGCCCCATGCTAAGCTGGGCAAGATATGTCCCCTTTGGCCTGCAGGTGGCCACTGTGGATACCAGCGCAGAGATGAGAAGATGGCTTTGAAGGAGACCTAAACCCATGGAGGGGGTGCTGTGGTGTCACCCACCTCATCAGACAACTCCTGTACCTTCACCCACTGATCTACAAGGCTGGTTGTTCCCTGTGTTAAATAGTTACAAACTTTCTGACACTCTGTGGACACAGGCTGCAGAGACAAGGACCCTCAGGAAGAACCTGTTTGCAGTCTGCCCTTCCTCTTCCTTCTCAGAGAGAACTGGCCAGACTTTGGGCATCCATCCAGACTCTACCTCTGCTGAGAACAAGGGGGTAGGTTTACCTTTAGTGTCACAGCTCGATTATATTCGGTGTGAAATGCACCATCCCTGTCAAACAAGAAGAAAAAGGTGTTAACTCTCAGAATGGTTGTGAAGATACATGCCTTCCATTTCCTGAAGCATCCTAATAAGACTCAGCTATTGAACACAGTTCAGGACTTAAAAAAAAGAATTATAAACACAGAAAATTCATTCTGCAATGCAATTAATCTAACTTAAAAACGGCTGTTCCCGAAAATATCAATGAAAGCTCTCAGCACTTGGAAATTGGAAATGCCCACGTGTACTTACTGGTAATGGAATAACTCGACCTTTTTGTCCTTTGGGCTGAGGTCAACTTTCATCTTCTTGCACAATTTTCTACTCTCTGTGTCACTGAAAGACACAAATGTCGGGAACCATTTGTCAGCTTAAGTCCTCCCAAAGGTGTTGACAGCAATATCTGCTGGTGGCCTAAGAAATAAGCCCAATAATCTGGAATTCTCAGTAGCAGATGAGATGAAGACCTCGCAGCAATGGGTTCTTAGGGACCTGGGGGAAGGAAAATAACCAGCAGCATAAGGGCTGGTCCAGAGAGATAGGACAAGCAGGCAGGAGAGGATGCACCATTACTCACGGGTGGCCACACAGGTGTGTCCACACAGAAGAAATGCCCAGAACCTGAGGGGTGGAAAGAAAATAAACCCCAAGCTGGGTGGCACAAGCCTGTGGTCCCAGCTGCTCAGGAGGCTGAGGCAGGAGAACTGCTTAAATCCAAGAGTTTGAGACCAGACTGAGCAACAGAGTGAGACCCCATCTCAAAAACAAAAGAAAGAAAAAAAATAAGAAACCTAATCTGGCTGCTCATCAGGCTCACCAGGGGAAGTTTAAAACATACTGCTTCCTGGCCCTCCTGGACCATTACTTTATAATCTATGAGGGTGGGACCCAAGGAAGATTTCGTTTTTAAAAGTCTAACAGTGCCATCGGCCACAGGCCATCTGACCAGGGGAAGAGGAAATGTTTTACCGTGCCAAAGAAGTGATGAGATCTGACCGGGTATTGACCAAGCCAGGAGGAAGGGGATCACTTCTGTGAAAGGAGCCCCTCCACTGGCATCTGAGATACTCCACCTGCCACTCTTCTGACCGGAAATGTCAGCCAGGTGCTGCTTGCTGCTAATCTCACCTAATCCTGGCATCCTTCCTGTTAGACCAGTGGACCAAGGGACCCGTAGGAAATGCAGAGCTCAGCCCCTTCGTAGATCCTCTAAATCAAAAGCTCTCAGGGTACTTGAGCATCTTTGCTTTCACAAAACTTCCAGGAGATCTGATGCTCGCTCATGTTTGGGAAGCACTGTGCGAGTCCACTGCTCTTCCTTCTCTCCTGCACCTCCTTATACCTTCCCCTCAGAGCCTCATCTGCTCTCACCATCCACTACGCACCGCAAGCCACCAGCAGCCAGCCAAGGACTGCCAGTCACCCCACATGCACAGGGCATTGCGAGTGACCTCAGGGCCAGTCTCCAGATCTGACTGCATCTCAGCCATCTGACACTAAGGACCAGAAAGCAGCAGTCTCTGGGGGAGCATTCTGCCAGGTACAGCAGCCACCTGTGGGAAGTGCCTTTTTCTCTCACCTGCTTATGTACCTCACCCACATCTATAGCCATCAGCCTCACACTGCTGTGAAAAGCCACAGAACAGAGGAACTCATGAAACTGCCCAGTCAATTCCAAAAGCAACACTCATCACTGGACACGCAAAACTGCAGCATGTCACTGTAAGTGTAAAGATGCATTCTGCAAGTCCAGAAGCATGTCCAGGTAGAGGGGTGTGTGGGGGTCACCCTGTCGCCAGTTCACCCAGGCCTGCCCTCCCCACTTGTCCCATCTGTCTAGTGACCTCTATGGCCACAGGCTACAACAGAGGGCACTCAGGAAATGCCTGCTGAATGCCAAAAGGAAAAGGCAATGACTTTGGAACAGTTCCTCCCTAAGGAGGTAAAGATGCTGTCAGACACAGTCCAAAGGGGACAGAGAAGCCAGGGTTGAAGAGTATGGGGGGTGATGGTTCATTGGAGAAAGGGGCCCACAGCATGTAGTCACTGGAAACCTTCCTGCCCTGAGCCCTCTGGAGATGCCAAACATACCACTCCAAAAGCAGCCACTGGGTTTGGGTTTGTCCTATCCCTTAGAGCTCTGGGGTGAAGCCACACTGAGAAGTGGCAGCTTTGTTTAGAAACATCTGAATGAGAATTCCCTGGCTGAGTTAACTTCCAGGAGAGAGGAGTCCACTTTCCTTGTTGAGCTTCTTTCTGCTGTGCTCAGCTGTTCCCATGACCACCACCATCACCAATGCAACAGCAACCAGGCTGGGGTGGGGACCAAGCCTCCACACAGAGGGGCTTGCAAACTTCACAAAGCAGAGGGAGGGATGACAGGCCTGGATCATTCCAGTCCCGATCCCTGTCCATTTGGCCAGAACCCACACCATGGAAAAGTCCCACTGCTGCAGCCCAGGACCCTGTGGGCCTAGGACATGCCAAGGAGCAACATTCCAGAGCAGACAAGCCTCCGCTTCCCTGCTGTCTCTCTCTCCAGTGATATTGACATCTGACCACTTGTCCTGTCCTGCATCAGAAATATTTGCTCCACATGCTTGTTTTTTTCCATAGCTGTTTCCCCAGGGTCACAGGCAGCAGGCACACAGTAGGTGCTCTGTAAATCAGCTGACAGGATGGGTGAATAAATGAAATGGGCAATGCTGTCTTGGTGCTTCCTGGCTTCCGGGGCTCTGCCTGCTGGGCTCAGGAATCCTGCCAGGTGACAGTGCCTGATGGGGCTCTCAGCTCTGCTCCCCCTACAGCTATGCCTCTTAAAGTGTCTAAGTGCACAGGTGAAGATGTACTAATGGTATAGCACAGACAATAAAAGTCATAAAAGTTCAAGAAGGAGAGAAAATTACCCAAGCTCAGGGACTTAAAAGGATCCGGGTTGATAGATTAAGTACAATTAATTGATCCACTGCCTCCCTCCCTCCCTCCTTCCCTCCCCCCGCTGTGGCTTTTCCCCGGCTAGGGGGAAAAGGAGACAAAAGCAGCAGGCAGAGGGATGAGCTGCTTTGCTAGCAGTCAGGGAGTGCCAAGCCCTTCCCTGCCCGGCCTGGGCCCTGGCCTTTGGGAATCAGCCATGTCTGCCCACGCGCTCACCTGCTCCAGAGGGCAAGACCAAGGCCAGTGATCACTGCACCCTATTCCTTCCCTCCTCGCTTGGTCTTCCTCTACAGAGAGTGAGGAGGGAAAGATCAGAGGCCCCCGCATGAACTTCCTTCCCACCTTCTCCACCCCCAGACAGACATGGCGCTGTCATGTGAAGTGGCTGTGGGTAGCTGAGTGCTGGTCTGGAGTGGCTGCTGTAGGAAGATGGGGCTATGATTAGATCTTCATGTGCAGTAATAATCATCCAAAGACTGGTGATTTATACTCCTGGGAGTCAGAAGCAGGGATGACAGATGGGGGCGAAGCAAGAACAAAGAGAACAAGGTGCTGGAGGCTAAGAACAGGAGGGAGTAAGTCTTTCCTAAGTTGTAGTCTAATGTAAGTATCAAGCCTTTCCTGGAAAAAGGCCTGACAGCCCCTGGAAAGATGGTTTCTCTTGGGGCCAGGGATTTAGCTCAGTGGTTCCACCGCCTGCCCTGCAAGTGCAAGGACCCGAGTTTAATTCCTGTTACCAAAAATAAAAAAGACGGCTTCTCTAGATCTAGATCTAGATCTGCCGAGGGCTAGGTATGGCTTCTGATGGGCCCTTAGTGTCTTCAGCTTCAAAATGTGGGAGGTGTCCACATCAACTGAATGGAGTTTCTGACCCTGCAGGGTCATGTAACACTAAAAACCAAGACATACTCCCTGCCTTATATCCTGACAGATGAACTAGGAGCCAGGACCCAGGAGAGAAAGATGGAGACTCACATAAACCCAAAGCCCTGTCATCACTCTCCCAGCTCCCCAGTTGGGTCCTCACTCAGCTACAATCAGCATTCTTAGTCCACAGCAAATCATGTTCAGTCTCCTCCTGGTGAGGTGGAAAGAAGGCCATGCTGAAACCACCAGGCAAGTCCTCTGCCTACCTGATTTGGCCATGAACTCTGTACCCTGGCTACCCCAGCCTCTCTGGGCTGTTTCACTCTTGGATGGAGGGACTCTAAAGCAGAGACCTCCCAGATGTTCTGGTCTCCTTGGTGCCTACCCAAGGAGGTCCATAATGAGGCCCAGGTTATGCACTGCAGTTAGAAGCAGTGATGGGAATGAGAAGAGCCCCTCTCCATCTGCCTTCCCTGCCAGCAGTTCTAATGTTCTGCTCCTCCATGGGGACTTGTCACCCCAGGTACATGGCCATGTGCCAGGAGGTATCTGAAGCCACAAGATAAACATGGCACTTCTTCCAGAAGTCCAACGTATCCTGTGGCAAGTAATGTTTGCCATGCATATATACAAGGGGGCAAATGCTAAATTCAAGTAATTTTTAGAAGAAAACGTAAGACTTGAGCTTGTTACACCTGCCTCGGCAGCTCTCTAACATTGCATTTGGGGAGCCCTCCCTTCTCCAGGGAAATCAAACAGATGGGAGAAGAGAAGCAGAGAAGAAAAATGTACTTGGGCATGACCTTAAACCCCAGGAAAAGAAAGCAGCCAGTACACCTAGCCCAGTCCCCAGAGAGGCCACTTCAAGAATCAGCACACCAGGAGTGGCATCTGGGGTGGGCCCAGCTCCATCTCCCAGACACCATCCTGCTCACCAGGGCCCACCCGTCAGGGCACAGGAGTTACCAACTCCCTCCAACACAGCCCGTTTAACAGCCAGACAACCACCAATAACCCAACCAGGCATGGCTCCTGACACTGGAGCCAGAAGTAGAGAGAGAGAGGAAAGGCAAAGCAACAAATCTCTGGCCAGAAGAAGACACGCACCATACTGATACCTCACAGCATGAGTAAGGGGGCTTAGAACCAGGAAGAAGTCCAGCGGGGAGGGGCCTGTGTGTACCTGCAGGTGTGCAGGTAGCAGGTAGCAGAAGGAAGAAGCCAGGAAACCAAAAAAAGGAAGAAAAGAAATATCTCCATGGAGGAGAAATGAGAAAAGAGGTCAAAAGAATAGGAGAGGAAGGAATCCAGCTCAAATCAGGGAGGTGGTTTCTAGCACCTTAGTAAAGCGAGAGAAAAAAAGGGGCAGGGGACAGCAGCTCAGGGAGAAGACTAGGGGACACTTAGAACGGGGAGATGCAGAGAAAGATCCCCAACACTGGAAGGTGGCATGCACCCAGCACACACTCACATGGCCACACCAAGACTGGCTGCTTCTGGTACTTCCCAGTCCAGGCTATTTAGGAATGAAAGCAACTTGGAAGATTCCATTCCACTTTGCACAGAAGATTAAACTGAAGCCCAGAGGGAGGCAGGGATGTACCAAAGGCTTCACAGCCACTTGTTATGAGTCTGACTCAGAGCCAGGTCCTCTGCCCTGTTGTCCCACAAATCCCACCGTACCCCATACTTCTTATGGGGGAGAGAAAAACACCTCAAGAGCTGGGGCTGACTGCCATGACCAATACCTTCTTCAGGGACATCCTCCCCAGAACCAAGGGATTCTCACCCAATAAAAAGGTGTCCAATGAACAAATGTACCATTCCTCCCTGTCCAGCTTCTTCCTGGACAATTTTGCCCAGATGAATAATAATAGCAAAATGGCACCTCACATTGAAATTGTTTTCTATTATTTGCCTGTTCCTTAGCACTGACCAGGAAAGAAAGCAGAACATGTAGCACTGTCCTATGCTGCAGATAAGGAAATGGAATTAGGATAACCAACTCATCCAAAAGCAGTGTCTTCTCTTGCCAGAGGCTCCCTGCCCCTCACCTGCCCTTTGAAGGGGAGAGGTGGAGTGGCCTCTTCATTCCTGAACCCCTCCTCCATCATCCCCATCCCAAGCCCCCATGTCCTTTTCTGGCAGGGCTGGAAGCAGAGCTGGAGAAGCGGAGGTGCGAACCTTGGCAGGGCACAGTGTGTGTGGGGCAGTACAGGCAGTGATCATCTCTGCTGCTTAACAGCAGTGGCCAAAGAGACCAGCACTGGTCTGTACCGCCTCCTGCCTCCCCTGCAGACCGCCACAGAAAGCGTTCCCAACAACACTTCTGCTGGGCCTGGGAGTATCTCCCTCACACACCAGCAGACACAGATGGACTGTACATGGAGAAGCAGCAGAAGCAGTCACCATAGGCCCTTCAGAGTTTACACAGCAGGGTCCCCGAGGATTTATAGGGCAAGTTTAGGAAACCAGGAGCAGGACCAAGGGAGCAGAAGGGCAGGAGCCAGCTCATGCCCTGAGAGCTCTGTGTCCATCAGTGGGCCCTGAGAACTGCTACCAGGGGGACTATAGCCTGAGGGTGGGCCCTTGGGCTGCTCTGGGAAGATTTTAGTTGCACTTTGCCTCTTAATTCCAAACTCAGATCCTGATATTTTGCCTTCCAACATGATATATGTTGGCTCCATAACCTACCTATTTATCTCTACCACTTCAAAGCTGCTTTAACGTTTTAGTTTACACTTCCTCTTACAGGGATAAATTCAATAAACTGAGAAGCTGCTATGTGGAACCACCTACCCTTTTGTCTTTTAAGCCCTAGTGCCCCTCTGTCTCAAGTTTAATTTCAGCACATCAAATTCACTGGATTTCCCCACTGGCACTTTTACTGACTCCAGACATCATGACTCCAAAATTTACTGCTAAACTCTAATTTTCCTTGTCTGTCTTCACACTGAACCCCGACCCCATTTAGCTCAGGCAGCCCGCTCTGGATTTTCTGAAGCTAGTCTGGGGCTGGAACAGGGAGCTGCCTGGTGGTGAACAAGCCAGGGCACCAGGAGGACATGATACCCTGGATCTTTTCCCCTCCTCTGAACTCTCCTCCTCTGAGAAAGCTCTTCTCCACTTTCCAGGCTGCACTAAGTGACAGCCTTTCTGCACACAGAGCTCTGTTTGAAGCCCTCTCTACCTGGAGTATACACTTGGCTCCCACCTTGGGCCCCCAGTGGGCACTGTCACTCATTTGTGTGTTCTCAAAGCATAGTAAGTACCGGCAAAGGCTAACGAATGGACCCAGGTAGAAATAACAACTAAAGTAAAGCTTCCCTACTTGTTCCTACCACTTAAAAGCCTGTTGAAAACTCCTTGCAATAAGGCTCCATCAGCTTGGCAGAACTGCCATCATCTTCAGATATGAAATTCCAAAGTGCCTTGTCCCCTCTGATAGACTCTGTCACTTTGCCAGTCACACAGAGCACTGCTGGCAAAATGTGGGAGACAGAGAGACACCTGGGAGACTAGAATACCTTCAGACCAGCTATGTATCAGAACCAACCCACGGCTTACATCACACCAACCGCCTAGCAAGCAGGCTTTTCTGCTCAGCTGCTATCAAATGAATCTGAAGGTCTGAGGTCAGATACACTCAGATACACACACACACACACACACACACACACACACTCATTCACATTTACACATTCACACCACTTGGAGGATAAGACCTATTCTCTTAGCCTCATTCACTGCTTTGTGAAAATATGAATCTTCTTCAATTCTCTCTAATCATGGGCAGAACAAGTCTGAGGTCATCAACTTAAAATCAAGGTGTCCCAAAACTTCACTGGCAAAACAGCCATTTAGAACTCAGACTGAATATGAAGAAGATTACACTGGAGTGGGGCCTATAAAAGCTCACCTAACCTGCTGGGCAGTGGCAGGGCTGTGGCTCAAGCAAATATAGTTGCAATAAAGGTTTTAGCCTAAACAGGCCTGAGCCAGGTCTGGAGCCAAGGGCCAGTCAAGGCACCAGCTGGCTGTGTGACCTCAGCACTGCAGACAGCAGAGATGGTCGGAGTAGGGGTGGCCTGGGGTGGAGGCAAAACTCGTGGTTCTTGCTGCAGACCCACCACAACCAATCCAACCCTCATAAAACAGGGAGGACTCATCTGTCACCTGTCTCTCTCAAGATAAAGCAACACAGGACGAGGGGACTTAGCTCAGTGGTACTGCCACCGCCTGCCGTGCAAACGCAAGGTCCTGAGTTCCATCCCCAGTATCAAAAAAATAAAAATAAAATAAAATAAAAAATAAAGAAATACAAGAGAACACAACAGAAGTGAAAGCTCTACAGAAAATGAGAAGAAAAGGGGCAGGGATGAAGAAGAAAGGGAGACAGAGCCACACCTCCCCATCCAGCCATAGGTGCCCCCAAACATCATCTGAGGGAACCTCCCAACACTCCCAGCATATTAACCAAAGGACAACCCACTGAAGCCCAAGGACTCCCACCTCCCAGCGGTGTTTTCCATGTGCCCAGGACATACCCACAGTCCACCCAGCAGATGGTGCCTTGCCCTTTCACTGCCTGGGCCACAGTGGACAATAACCTGAGATGATTTTCAGCTGCTGCCTCTGTAAAAGAACAGAAAATTAAATATTTGTGCCCAAGGGCTTTGGGCCCTGGGGCAGATGGAGTGAATGCAAGAAAGGCAGAGTCTCTCATTGATCCAGGTGTCATCCCTATGGGTCAGGGCAAAAAGCATCAGGGTGCTACTGTGGGAAAGCAGGGTCTCAAGGACAAGCCCCAGGATCAGGATTTCAACCCCACCAGCCTGCAATGATCCACAGTGGGGCAGCTGTGGTATGTTTGACACTTGCAGCCAGCAGACTCCTGGTCACCTTTCCCATGCGATCTTGGCAAGCTCACTCAAAAGGTACACCAGGTAGATGCTAGTGGGGAGGGTGATCTGCTGCCTTCTCCTGCCAGAAACCATATGATACATTCTAAGGCCAAGCAGAAATGATGTCTGAATTATGTGCCTCCACAGAGCCGCTCTTCCAGTGTGGATAATGGTAGCTGTTTGTGAATACAAAGCATGCTGAGCCTTTCACAAATGTGAACAAAAAGCATTCTTCAAGAAACATGCACAAGTTGCTCAGGGGAGGCACTCCCAGGAAACCTTGGCCAGGGCCACAGAGGAGGGCCAGCCACAGAGATGGGAAAGCCATTGTTCCAGATGGCAGATGGGCTCTGGAGAGAGGCTGGGGGCATGGAATAAAGGAGAGCAATATAAAGTACCCTCGCCCCGGTCTTGCCTTTCAGCCACCTGGAAGGATGGCAGGGAGAGGAGAAAATCCAGTTTCTACAATGCTCAGAAAACCTCCCAGAGGTCACAAGTCTCATGCAGTAGTCATGGGCAAGGGGGTCATGGCTCAGGCCCCAGCCCCAGCACAGCAAAGCCAGAAGGAGCCTGGGAAGTGGGCAGCACAGGGACTCTGGTGTAAACCACCCAGACTGGGCTAGGAGAAGGGCAAAGAGAGGAGAGGGTTCAGGTTCTCCCTCTGTAGCAGACCTGGAGTTGCCACCTTCCCACTCTCTGACCTACTGTGCAATTCCCTGTCTCTGCCCCATGTTGGTCTAAAAGCTGTCACTGCAGAATTAACCCTTTTCTTCCTGTCTCCCATCAGAGGACAGGAGAGGCAAAGGCAGCAGAGGAGACCAGCTTTGCTGCACTAGCTGGTGGACCTCAAGCAAGTTAAGAATTCCCTGCTAGCTTCAATGTCCTCATTTGCAAACTAGATGCCAACTGACAGCCTGCCCTGTCTCCCTTGTGGCAAAGGAACAAATGAAAGAAGGCATGCAGCACAATCCTGCACTGACAGCCAGGCCGGCTCCAGAAGTATCTAAGGGGCGAGCCATGTTTATTCAGGGCCTTGAACACAGGACTTAAGACCTACTGCCTCTCCCTTGGCCTCCCATTCCAACAGCAGAGAAACACTAGTCCATGCTGGCTTCCCAACTGCAAACCCAGGGAGTATGTGCCAGACCCTTGGAAGAGGGTTGAGCAACAAGTGGCACTGAGGACAGCCAGATGCCATGGTGCTTAGGGGGCGCAGTTTGAGGAGGGACACAAATCTGAAATGTTCATCAGCCATGTGCCAATGAGAGTTGAGGATGAGATGCTGGGGGAGGCCATGTGGAACTGGCCCAGCTACTGGCTGCTGCTTTTCCAAGGCATGGAAAACTTGGCAACTTCAGGGGCAGCAAAAACACTTAACTCTGCTGGAACAACATCAACAGAGTTGGCCACACACCATTCCCCAAAGTTGCTGCCAAGAGCCAAGCAAACCTCTGTCCGTCACGCCCTTGCTAGCCTCAAGGTCAGGAGAGTGGCAGCCGCTACTCCCCAGTAAGGATGCTGGGCCCTGAGCTCAGGGCCTACTCCAAAGTCAGTCTTGGGTCTCACCCCACAACGGGACAGATGGGAACAGGGAAGGGCCAGGGCTGCCAGCCCGGCAGAGTGTCAAGCCTGGGACCAATTTAGCTGGCACCAGCTGGCTCAGGCAGTTAATCAACAGCTCCAGTAAAGCACATCCTGCAGGACTTGCCATCCTGTGCAGGGAACCAGTGTCTGTCTCACCCTGTGGCTGATGTCCCCTCCCTTCCCAGGTCATAAGGGGATCCGCGGCACTTTCCAACAGAACGACACTCAGGCTGCAAAAGTGGCTGAACTAATGCCTCTTTGTAACTCTGCCTGCATTTTCCAAGGAGAATTGACAGCCTCACACCCTGCCTGAGAAGTTTCTGCCCTGAGGTCTCTCCCTCTGACCTCTTCCCCACCTCTCCCAATTCTCCCAATCCTGATGAGTGATCCCAAGGCCAGGAAGGACACTCACCAGATTTAGAGTAAAGCACCAGCACGTTATTCCGGGTCCTGAGAAGTTTCTTCAAGTCCTTGGGGTCAGATATTCTTTCGATGAATGAGGAGACCTTTACAGAGGACAGCCAATTTGGCAGGATCACCTGGGGATCAAAGGGCCAAGGACAATGAGTCTCAGCTTCTGGCCTGGCCCAAGGAAGAATCGGGGGCCAGAGATGTGCTGCCAGGAACACATTTTACTTCCAGGGGATGAAGCTATCTGACCTTCTCAGGGCTCCGCCAATACACTGCCTCTTCACTTCCAAGGACACATCCCTGCCCGAACCCAGTCTCCACCTGCCCTGCCATCCCCTGCACTTCCATAAGGATGTATGGGGTGCAATCAAGAGGTTTCTGGGAGGCCACTTATCTGAAATGCCACACACTGGCACAACTGGAAAACTCCATCCCACCTAGAGGCACCAAAGCATAAACCCCCCAGGAAAACAAGATATCCACTAATGTTTAGAATAGGAGTGGATGGGAGAGAGGCTCCAGCTTGTCTCATTCAGCCAAAAAGAAACAAGTCCATTCTCTCCAGAGAGGCCTGGAAAACCTTGGGAGCTGGAGGCACCAGGCACCTCAGCAGGCATGATGAAGGGTGGGCTGAAAGCAGGGATATGGGGAGTAAAGTCTAAGGAGGTGCAGTAACAAAGCAGATCCTCTTACCTAGCCCAGGCACCTGCACAGTACTCCTGGCAGGCATGGCAGAAGACAAGGAGTTACTGTATGGAGAGCTCACCAGGTATAGCGTGGGAGATATGGGAAGGCATACAAGCTAAACCTTGAGATCACCCATCTCTTTAGGTACTTGCCCCCAGCACACACCCCCCTCCCCGACTTCCAGATGCTGCTTGTCAGTTTTACTCCCCAGGCAAGTTATTACAGAATTTTTCTCTGAAGAACCTGAAGAGAAAAGAAAAACAACACAGAGATAATGATTGCAACGAAAATATGAGTTCCCACTCAACACTTCATAATGAGGCTCCCAGAAGGCAAGTCCCTTCCACTCCCTCTTCACACTCCAGAGCTGCCACTCCATGGACCAGTGCCTGCTCTTCCACAGGTAACCAAAGCCCACCAACCTACCAGGGGTCCGTCTGTCTCTCTCTGTCACTGTCTCTGTCTCTGTCTGTCCATCTCTCTCTCGCTTTTTCTTTCTTTTTCTTAATGGCACTAGATATTGAACCCAGGGCCTCTGCACTGAGCTACATCCCCAGGCCTTTTAAATTTTGAGATGGGTTTTGCCAAGTCACTAAATTGCCCAGGCTGGTCTCAAACTTGAACTTGCTGGGATTACAAGCATGTGCTCACAGGTCTCTTTTGTTCCAACACAAAAGACAGAGATGAAAATAAACTAATAGAAAGATGAAACTCTGAAGAAAAGAACAACAAAATTATAATTCTCAGAGAAATAAAATGGTGCATCCATAAAAAAAGAAAAGAATGCTGTGAAGAAATTAAAAAAATCAGGAAAAATCCTTGGAAAGTAAAACTATCACAGCAACAAGTGGGGATGAAAATAGTACAGAAGAAAATTTCCTACAAAATAAAACAAAAAGACTGAGAAATAAAAACAGATAGGCATGGGCCAGGGATTTGGCTCAGCGGTTCCACCACCTGCCTCGAAAGCGGAAGGTCCCAAGTTTGATCCCCATACCCAAAACAAAAAACAAAAAACAAAACCCAAAAAAGGATAGGCATATAATAAAAATAATAAAATGGATCTATTAAGTGCAAAAGTGAAGTTAACTCCAGAAGAAAAAAGAGGAAATTTAAAAAAAAGAAAATATCCCAGAAATGAAAGATGTGAGTCTCTAGCTGAGACCCCAGCATCAAGAATAAGAAAAGACTTGTCAAGGTTCATCAACTGAAAACTTTCAGAAAACTGCTTATGAAGAGGAAATTGGGAGAATACCACATACAAAAAAAATCAGAGGTCAGAACTGGCAACAAAACAAAACAAAACAAAAAGAACAGCTCACAAGGACCCCAGAAGTCAGTGAAGCAATGCCATCATGATTCTCAGTAAGCATCACTTCCGACTAGAATTCTATACCCAGCCAAACTATTTGTCAATTATGAGAGTAGATTCACACAGACCAAAAACATCAGATCTGCAAACTTTATCGCAAAGCACTCTTAGGAAGCCACGGGAAGCCATGCTCTACCAAAATAAGAAGTAAATGAAAAATGAGAGGGACATGGAACCAAGGAAACAAAGATCCAACAGAAGAGAAAGACAAGAAGAGTTACCATGTGGATAATGAAGAGTCTGCCCAAGATAACTGTTCAGCAGGCTGCAGAGCAACCAGCCTGGACTGGAGCAAGGACAGATCATGGAGGAATATGGTCCACAAAAGAGGCAACTGGAGACTATTTTATATGTCTCTTCATATTGAGGAATTTTCATTGCTGCCATAAAAATTTTTTTTAATGAAAAATCTGAGTCAGGCACAATGGTGCATGCCTGTAATCCAAGCTTGAAAGGTTGAGAGAGGTGGGTCACAAGTTTGATGTCAGACTGGGTAATTTAAAAATACTCTGTCTTAAAATTTTAAAAAGGTGTAGGGATGTAGCTTAGTAGTAAAGTACCCTTGGGCTTGAGCCCCAGTATTGGGGAAAAGATGGGGGGGGGGGAGACAGAGAGAAGAGAGAAAGAATAGATAACAGGTAGAGCCAGGATCTGAATCCCATCCTAATTTGTCCCCAGACCTTCTCAATCCACTGCCTCTTTCTAGCCAGATGTCTTAAGTTGAGTCTAAATCCCATCACTCAAGGCTAAGATGACCAGCAACATTACTCAACCTTTCAGAGGCTTAGCAACACACATCTGATGTGGGGATAAAACCTCCCTCAAGGGATTGCTGTGAGGATGAGATGGGATAGCTTATTGAACATGCTTTATAAATCAGAAAGCACTCCAATAGAATCAGTTACAATAATATATAATCCAAATTTCCATCTCAGCAGAATGGAAGACAGAAACACGACTGGAATCAAGTGTTTCTAAATAGAACCTGCCATTGGATTCCAAAGGTTCCTTTTCCCCGAGAGTAAAACTTTCGAGGAGGAAGAGTTGAGGAATTATTTCTCCTTCAACCCACCCTGCCCAAGCTGTGCACAAGGATCCACTGCTCTTATTCAGGACACTCCAGAAGCTCACCAAAGAATTCCTTCAACTTGATTAGGTCTGTGTTATCCAACTGTTCCCAGGTGGCTAATGGACTTCAGACTAAATAGTCCATAGTTCAATGCACATGGTGATGAGAGAAAAAAAAAGTAATCTCTTGAAAAAACATCCTGACATCCTGACTCGCTGCTGTTGTTAATCCTCAGATAATCTGACCAGTTGAGAAAACCACTGCCTGGTCCAGGGCTCTGACCTGCAGACAAGCCCCAAAGCCTGGTAGGCACCTATGCCTTGTGAACCAGGGAGAAGGAAAAGACAGCATGTTCTGGGCACCAGGTGTACAGCCGGCCACGGTGACACAGTGGCCCTGCAAGAAACCACAGGAGCCTGAGTCTCAGGCTCACCTGGCTTATCTTCTATAAAACCAGTCAATCCCTTAGGCCATGAAACCATTAAGCAACCCACTTTACTGGCTGACACCAAAGCCTCTGTCCCAATGTTTACCGTGACACAGGAGAGGACTTAAGCTCTGGTAGAAATATGCTGAGCAAATTGACTTTGCTTGAAATCCATTACGGAGCACTAAACTGGAGCTGGCCTGCTTTAGAAATCTCCATGAAGGGCCTCTCTCCCCACCTTTCCCCAAAGACTAAGGTCTCTGGAGGACAGGGCCCCTGAAAACCATTAGGAAATGTTTGCCCAGTTTAATAAACAGAACAAATCACAGCCCTAGACCACACTCCTGACCTGCAGAGGTCCTGCCCAGAACATGTGATGATGTCAGTCTGTGGCAGATCACGGAACCCAGGGAGCCCACAGCATAATGAGAGCCTGGGTTGGAGCTGAGGGCAGGGAAGACAGGTGGGACTAGGCTGGGGATCCTGCTGGTCTGGCTCAAGAGCTGGCCTGGTGGGCAGGAAGCAAGTGAGAGCACGGCTGACTGCTTAGCAGGGATGGCTCAGCGACGTACAGACTCATCTGCCTGTGAAGTGGACAGGTAGTGGCCAGGAGGCTGGGGGAGGGGACAGCTGGGTAGCTGCTGAAGAGAAGGGGGAAAAAAGGGTCAATTCCGGTACTTCTAAGAGAAAAACATCAAATGTGATGCCCGTTCACAGGTTAAGCAAGGAAGGAAGAGGAAAATGTCTAACATGGCTCTGAGGATTTTGAATGGGGAGCGGTGAAGAAGATGAAGAGGAAGACGATGGCAGGTTCTGGCTGCTCGGGGTGCAGACCTGTGAGCAAGAAGGCATCAAAGACAGGTCCTCCAGGGTGCAGGCCAGGGTCAGAGGGAGCAGACTGGGGACAGCTCAGTCCAGCGGTAGAAAGGAACAGGGATGAGGAGGGGACCGACCAGACTGAGTGGTGAGAGGCGGACACCTGGGAGAACCTGGGGTGGGGTGGGAAGCAGGCTGCTGGGTAGAGCACAGGAGCTGGATGACAAGGGGGAACAAGAGGTACAGCAGGGTCAGGAGGACGGGCCATTCTGTGGAAGATAGGGGCCACAGGAAACATGGGGCTTATCTAGAAGGGCAGGATCTGAAGGTCTGAGAGCAAGAGGAAAAACAAAGGCAGATTCGGGCAGAACCCAAGGAGATGAAGTCCACAGAGCTGAGATGAAAGGCCATGGTCCTCCTCAGACAGACCTCACTCTCTGGAGCAGCCACAGCAGGGGCCAACAGGGAGGCCTTCCTCCCTCTCCCTAAGGCCAAGGGAAAATACTCCCAGGCTGCTTAACCTTTCTTTTCTGGAGGAAAGGTCCAGGGAGCCCTTGATGGCCTGGCCTATAGCCCTCCTGCAGATGCCATAAGTCACAAGCCAGAAACCTCAGCAACAGCAATAATGGCTGCCAAATAACAACGGTAATGACATGATGTGCAGCCTGTGGGCTTCACTGTTGCACCCTTAGGGGGAAAGGGCAGTAATGGAAGGGTGCTCCCTCAACCAGCTACTTCCAAGCCAGTGGTGGCACTG